CAAGTGAGTGGGACCAGGAAATCTTAGAGGCAGTATGAGAACAATAACAACAAAATACAAAGTATAGTGTCGGACCAAATCGGGGCATGGTTATGGGTAAATTTCAAAGGTCATTTGTGTAATGGGTTACATGGGTGCACAGTTAATCGAACCAAACCGGAGAAAAATCTGGAGTGAATAATTTTTTCAATTAAGTCGATACACCAGCCTTCACTGACATAGAAGAAACGCCATCGACCTTGTGAGTTAACGCCCGGTTTCAATTTTTGAACTCCTCTTATTCCTCCGATTTTTTCTTTGATTAGTGAAATAGCCTGAGTTGTTTCACCAATTTAGCGAATCGTAGTATAAACTAAGGTTCGTATTTTTCATTCGGAAAATGTTCCTCTCTAACAAGTGTGTTTTTATCATATACTGTTACCTCTGTTTTCGTGTGTCACTTCAGTGTGGTCCTACCTGGTTTGCAGTTTTTCACTGGCAGGTTGGGCTTTGGCCTCCCAGTGAAAGTTTTATTTTTGTGTTGTGCCTACTCATTCTCATTCGTGGAGAAAGCACTTGCATAATGACTTGCCGGTGCGATAGATGCCAGGATTGGTACCACCAGCAATGTTCAGCCTTAACCAAACAGGACTAACAACTGCAAACTAAGCACGAGACTCTGAAATGGGTGTGCACACGCTGTGTCTGATCGCCCTGATTGCTGAAGGGTGCGCTCGCTTATTGCTGGGCTTCATTCTGCCACAGATAAAAGTCGCCAATTATCGGCAGGAACAGCCCTTCCGTACTACGGTGCAGGGAAATGCCAAGTGTGAGCAGGCACCGGCTACGAGTAGCCGAAAGAAAATACCCCAGGAGAAAAGACAAAGTTGACGAATAAGTCATGTGAGACCAGCTGGGAGGCGTTAAGGAGAGAAATAAATGATATGAAGGCAGAAATGGCAAAGATAAAGGACATCTATGACGGAGTCTTGGCAAGGAGCAGAAGACTTCTATTGCACAACTGCGTAGAACCGGTGGTGAACGATGCGAAGGTTAGAGGAGAAGAACCACAGGTATGTAATGAACGCCTTTAGGTTGGCAGAGCTGCCACCAGATACGAAATATAATAAATGTCACAGGATTGGACTTTAGAAGGGTCACAAGGATCCCCATCCACGTCCACTGTTGGTTGTTTTCTGTGGAACTCATAACAAAGACCTGCTTCTGGGAAGGGCTGCTAGAGTAGAAATGAGCACTAGGGGGCACTTGAGAATCACACCCGATTCTCCACTTAGTGCTAATGCTAAATCCAAACAGGAGTATAGAGCAACCAAGCCAAAATTGGTTATACGTCCCTTTTGAAAGGGGTAACGAGCCGCTCAGTCAATCTACACCGAAGGGAAAACCTGCTACCTGTAAAGAGGGGACTGTAGCGACGAAGGTCAAAACTAGTGTGAATAGTTCTCTGGCCACAAGAAATTCTGCAAGAGTGGTGCAAGAAAAGCAACAAAACGCAGTAGCGGGAGAAAAGGTTCGAGTACATCGAGTCTCACCAATACCAAGTGATCAAAGTTGCAGTAGTAGTGATCAGGGGAACCGAGTAAGCTGGGCAACCGTTGTGGCTCGCACGCCACCTGCGAGAAATGTGAGCGACAGGAATCCAACCCCATCTGATGAAACTAAGGAGCTAATCGGAGGGGATAGTTCAGCACTCAAATTGTCCCTTAAGAATATCCCCATGACCAAAAGCGGTATCTCATGGCAGGTCCAGGAACCCACAATATTGGAAAATGGCAAAGCAAAAGCATACACCCTCGGGCACTCCGCCCGAGGTTCTGA